TTCTAGCTGGGTGTGGAATGGTGGGAGAGTCTCCCACCCTCTGATATTTTATACATGGACACTGAGCACTGCAGGTGCTTGATACAGAGCTTCGCATATCTCTTTGGGGTTAGGTTATGGGCAGAAGTTTCAAATACAGACACGTACCGATATAATCTCACAAGAGTGATACACATACTTTATTACTCTCAAGAGAATATATTTTTTTCCATTTCATAATGTTACTTCTTTTGAGGAATAAGAAAGGTACTGAATAGGAGCCAATTTTGAGGAGGACCTAAAAACCAGTCTCATCTGACAATAACAGTAACACAAGCGAGAAAATCAGATAAAAGTTGGCCAAACTACAACCAGTATTCAGACATACTTGACAAGGATAGGAAACACAACAGCACGAGAAATGCACACCTTTTTGGTTACAGTGAAATAAACAGAACAAGACGTCAAAAACATTCAAAAACATTTATGGTCTACTCCTGAAGATGAATGGTTCTACATATGTTTTTAGAGCAATCTGATGAAAGAAACTGGTTTCTCATTTTACAACAATACAAACACACTAATATGAAAGGAACTACGACACACACTGCGTAACCAGAAGTAACGCCAGTAACCTCAATGACATCTGTTTTATGAAGAATCCCTTCTTCTGAGATGTGGCACCGTGTACACATAGTATAAACCGATGTTTCAGGGGAATGTACCACCTCCAAAACGTCGGTTTATACTAGTTGTACATGTCACCACATCCCACAAGGTGGCATTCTTCGTAGTCATCACCGTGAAAACCTCAAATCTTACATGTCTATTCTAAATCTGCAAACCCATTGAACTTTTAGCTGTTGAAAACATCACTCTCCTCTAATAAAGGGTGGCCATTTAAAAAAATTCAGGAAACACAAATGTTCTTATCGAATATGTTTCAAATGACAAGCAAAATGTAACATGGATGGTGACAGTTGCAAATACAACAGCAAAAATTCTCACCTGCAGAAGGAAAAGGAACATTAAAAATTGGATAATTCTAATTTTTTCCAAATCTATTTGATGACATACACAAAACAGCAATCAACTGGACTGACATGAAGACACCAACACTGAGACAGGGTGAAACACATGCCAGAGTTGGAGTTAACTATACAGAAAATGATTTACAAGACATGTGAGACTGACATGAAGACACCAACACAGACAGCATTGAGACACACGCCAGAGTTAGAGCTAACTATACAGAAAATGATTTACAAGACATGTGAGACTGACATGAAGATACCAACACTGCGACAGGGTGACACACATGCCAGAGTTGGAGCTAATTATGCAGTATATGATTTACAAGAGAAGTGAAACTGACATGAAGACACCAACACAGACAGGGTGACACACAGAGATACCAGAGTTGGAGCTAACTATAACGAAAATGATTTACAAGGCAGGTGAGACTGACAAACATGCAACGAGCAGGAACACGTAGGGAACTTCTGTGATGAATATGGGGAAACTTAAAAAATCTGCTCTTATTCAAGGCATGAATCAACAAAGGGGGTAGAATGACTAATATGTAGGTAAGTCAATAAGTAAGTTACAAATGGATATCATCATCATCATCATCATCATCAGTAATCTGTCAAGACGACAGGTCCACAGTCTCTTTCAAAACAATTCCTCCACTTAATGTGATCTAGAGCTTTCTCCTTCAAGTGACAGTATCCTCTTCTGTCCCCAAGGTCATCCAGCATCTTCTTATGTCTTCTTCCTCGTCTTCTTGTCACTTCTATCCGCCCATCTATCTTTCCTTCAATAACTTCTTTTAGAAGGCAGTTTCTGCGTGGAAAATGACCATCCAATTAGCCTTCCATTTTCTTATTTTGTGTAGGATATTCCTCTGCTCACTGACTCTAATTAACACTTCTTAATTTCTCACATAATCAATCCAAATGATCTTCTCCATCCTTCTCCAACACCNCTTCCTTAGCCATTAACACAAGGTCATCTGCATATTTCACAGTTTGAATAATTTGCCCTCCTAATTTGAAGTCACCGAGCCCATCCAGAGCTTCCTTGGTAAGGCATTCGCTGTACAAGTTGAACAGAATTGGTGATAAACAGCATCCTTGTCAAACTCCTCTTCCAATCTGCACACTTCTTGTCTCCCCTCTGTCCACTTGTACTCTAACTTTCTGATCCATGTACAATTTGTGATCAATCTTCTTTCACGCCAATCGATACCTGTTTCTTTTAGGATCTGCATTAATTTGGTCCAGTTTACCCGGTCAAATGCCTTCTGCCAGTCTATGAAGCAAACACACAGTTCTTCATCTACCTCCAAAGTTCGTTCCGCTATAATTCTCATCATCCCAATTGCATCCCTGGTTCCTTTTCCTCTTCTAAATCCAAACTGATCTTCTCCAAGTACATCCTCTATTTTCCTCTCAATTATTCTTTTAAGTATCTTTGTTATTATATTTGCTGTGTAACGCCGTGGTGGCAGGGGGCTTGGAGGCATCCCACCGCTGCCACCACTTGTAACACCGTGGAGCAGGGAGGGAGTGCAGGTATCCCTCCTTACCACCACAGCTTTCGCTGTAAGGAGTTAACACCATAATCCTAGCTTACTCTCAGCTAGGATTCTCCTGTTTTGGTGCTTCCTTCTCTCACTTAAAGCTGCCACCATCTATTATATCGTACGAAGGTTGGTGAAAATACTAAGGGAGGTGATGAAAATACTAAGGGAGGTGATGAATGTACTGAGGGCCGGTATCGCGGTAGTCGAGCGTCCTCTGTGGGCTGGCCCTTTCATCCTTGTCACCTCTTATTACTGGCGTAGAGCGGGAGTGCCGGGTCTGACTCGCCTCTACTTATCGTCTGTCATCTCTATGGTTGGAACTACCCCCTGACATCTTGTCATAGCTCCCTCCTAACAACTCCTCATATAGTCTGCAGGTAGCAACGTATTACACTATTATGATTCTTAAGGGGGCGTTGATACCCAGGCTACTAAACGCTGCCTGCGTGGCAGGTGCCTATCCCAGTCCAATAGTGCCTCCCCTGAACTGTGGTTGCATTCGGCTGCTGTTGCCTTTCATATTGGTAGGATCTGTGAGATCGGTCGTGGAAAGGTGATTATGGAGGGGTGAATCAAAATTCCCTGCGTACATCCTACTCTATGTACACTGGTCTATTTACATTAATATTTACCGTATTTACAATATTTACATTATTAACAAGGCCGACTTTCAGTCGGGACTACATAGTGGATTTACTTGAATCTACGCTAGGAACCTCCTCTTCGGGGGTGTAAAACTGGAGTCTCTCTCTCTTTCTCTGCTTCGACTCCTGACTGTAGGCAAGTATTAATCGTGCAATGCGATCCTGTTCCCCTACTATTCATGATACACTACTAGGAATCCTAACACATACACCATACACAGACATATTGCCGGACTATCTTCCTAGGCAATCACTTGTTACATAATTATTGCTCTCCCCCAAGAGCTCGCCGAGCACACTGGAGTTTGCTTTCGGTATTTTCCACACACTTTTATCAACAAGAATATATAACAACATGGCTTACATGAGTAAACATGACTTACTTGAAATCAAAGACGTGGGCTCTTCCTCCACTCGTAAGGCCCATATTGACTAGAGCCTCCGGCTGACAACAGGTTATTATGTGTTAGATCAGTTCCCCAAGTCTCCTAAATTCCGTAATTTATATCTTTAATTTGCTAAATCAGCGGTTAAAGAAAGGGGGAAATTAACTCCTCCTTTCGTCCTCAATTTCGGAGTGGATGGTTTCCATTGGCTACCCCTACGGTTGTGGGTGGTTCCGTGGTCCTCTCTGCTGCTTATGTGATAATATTACTATACTCCAGTGGCCCAGTTAACAGAGCTTCTTACTTATGTGCTTACGCATAAATGCTGATCAGCTACATTCGTAACCTAGTTGCCTGTCCAGGTGTTGACATACTAACGTAATGGCTGCAAAACACTTTTCGTAAGTCTCGAAACATTTAAGTAATGCCTTAAATTTCCAATTTCAAAATTTGGGCGCAACACTCCCCCGGCCAAAACGTGAAATATTTTCTACTACAGGGATAAAATATTACACTTGTTTTCTATACTTAACGTTACATCCACCACCATTTTTCGTTTGGTTCAACCGTCCCAAAAAAATTACTCAAAAAAATTACACATATTACATAAATTACATGAATTCGTTATCATATGTCTCTTTCTGTTCATTAATCCACTTTCACTTTTGACTTTGTTCCTCCACCAAAGAGAAGATTAACACAAGTTACACCAATTACAATATTTACATTAGTGGGTTATCATAGGTCTCTTTGTCCATGTTTTTTTTTCATCACAAGTCTGTACTTCACTTATACACTGTGACTTCAGCGCGGGTCCCTGGGTCTCCGGTCTGCGGACTCGCATTTCGGATTTCCTAGTCGTCTCGTCCTGCCTCTGGTATGCCTTCCAGAGGGGTTGAGTTGTATTGTAATTAACATGTCAACTGGGTATGAATTTTTGAGACGGATGTGCTCTACAGTGCGGCAGTTGGCACATCATTGAGTAGTGCTGTTTCAGGGCACAACTCCTTCATTATTAAAGTAATCGCAGGATTTATCGGGATTTCTGTGAAGACTTGAAGGAATGTTCCTTATGCCAGTAATGTGATTCTGACGCCAGGATCGGGGGACAATACGATGGTTTTCATCTCCGTAATCAATTAAACCGCTTGAGATGTAGGTGGGATTTGCTTTCCTCAGCCAATTATGCAACGTGCAGCAGGCGAGCACTTCCTTGTCCACCGATTCTAATTTGAAAGACATTGGTTTTTCAAACACTCTGAATTTACTCACAAGTATGCCGAAAGTATTTTCTATCACTCTTCGAGCCCTTGAAAGTCGATAGTTGTAATTTTTTTCTTCTTCGGACAAGTTACGTCGCTTGTACGGTTCCATCAAATACGTCTTTAACGGAAACGCATCGTCCTACACAATTACGAAATCAGTTGGTATTGGTAAGCTGTTTGTCTCTAAAGCGTTGTATAAAGAGCTGTTTTGAAATACTCCTCCATCAGAACCTCTTCCATTAGCGCCAACGTCAACATACAGTAAACAATAATCGGAGTCAGCTAAAGCCATTAAGACAATACTGAAACTATTTTTATAATTGTAAAAATCGGATCCAGTAGCGGGAGGGGCACGTATGACAATGTGTTTTCCGTCCAGAGCTCCTACACAGCCTGGAAAATTCCATCAGTTTCTAAATCCATATTCAACATATTTCCACTCATCTGATGGAGCCGGCACCTGAAACAAAATATTTAATATTTTGATTGCAGGAGTTACCAACGAACACCACAACAGAGTCACAAGTACAGCAATCAGAAGTGGAGCCGTCACAATCTCCACTCCAACATCAAAGGCCTATTGACGATTTCAATGAGATGGTTCCAGGACCATCCCACACCACAGAAGAAACTGAGGCATCCATGCCAATTCGCAAGCGAAAAATGCTTTCAACAGAACCCCGGCAGTCATCCTCAAATAAACAACCTTTACATGACCCCCAAATTAATTTTATTTCAGGTGCCATTGACAAATTACAAGATATTTCTAATCGTGCTGCACAAATTACGAAAGATGACACATATGACTTTCGGGAAATATTGTTGCGTCCATGTTACGCCAGATTGGACCTCCAACCGCTATCAGACTGCAAGATAACATTACTTCTCTACTAGTTAACGCTATGTGCCCACCAACTACTCTCACCAACCAGTCAACACTACCTACGAGTAGAGAGTCAAGTATGACTGGAATTTCTGATGATTTCTTCTTTACGCAGTTATGATGAGCTATTATTACTAATCAGAACAAAAAAATTACTGTAATGTTAGTTATAATAAAATGTTACTCTAATAATTATTGTAGCTATAATAAAATACCTACCTACTAAAAAAATGGAATTGCTGGAATAAACGATTCGTTACAAAACAGCTGTAATAAATGACTTATTAAAAAATTGTACTTATAACATTTCGCTTACCTCTATGAATTCTTTAAGTTTCTTGTGAATAGCTTCGCAGGTCTCGGGTATGAATTTACTAATTGTACTTTTTGGAACACGAAATAATAATTCCAGACTCTTGAAAGAGTCTCCTGTGGCTAAATATCGTAAAGTCACTTGAAGTTTTGTTTTTGCACTTACTGCCTGTCTCATATTAGTATCTGATTTTGCGACCAGTGGTGAAACGCGTTCCAGGAGGAAATCAAATTGGTCTTCAGACACTCGTAGTAAGTTCTTGAAATCATCTGGGTAACTATTTCTGAGTTCCATGTCAACCAAATTATGTGGCCCTAATTTCCTATTTAGAATCCACTTCCTAACTCACCATCTGCTTTTCTTCCGTTTTCCTTTCATTTCCACCATCTGATTCATTCTCTGCGCTAAAATAGCAGCAAAAACTGAACTCACAACAGCACAATTTTCTATGAGGAGCTCGTTCATGGTCGGCTTTCCGCGATCAACTAAATCACGTCTTCGTAGACACTTCAGCCAGTGTGAACTACTCACGACCCACGACTGGTGGGTTCACGCCTGCAAATTCACGAAAGCAAGTACGAAAGCGTTCCACTCTTTCGTATCCACACCCCGTTGGAACCTAGCATTAGAATTACAGTATTGCTATTGTTACTTCCTAGGCAACAGCCAACTGATGGGGCTACAATACCGCTATTGTCGCTACCTATGCAACGGTGTGTTCTAGCGTTACTATGGAATTGACTCCTGGATTCCAAACATGTGACAATATTTTTATTTTAGCTATTTATAGGTCTCTCTCCAGTAACTCTTTTTATTTATTACCCAATTAGAATCTGTTATCAAACAAATCTATAAACCAACGTTACGAATGCTGGTTTGCGGTGATTTTAATGTAAAATATCCTGTAGACAATAATAAGCAGTGACAATTGAATTATATGCTGTAGTCTTTCAAGTTATATAGTATGGTTCATTTTCCTACTATAAATACACCATGAGGAGATAAGGACGGAAATTAGGAAGGCTTCCTTTGTAGCTGTCATGGCTGATGACACAACAGATGTTTCGGAACACACTCAAATGGTCCTTGTTCTAGAGTATGTATTGAATGGAGAAATATTGGAGCGTCTTTTGGGGATTCTCTATTCCAGAAAATCAAACTGCAGATGGCATATCAAAACGTATTTTAGAACAACTGGATATAATCCTTCAAGGAAATGGACAAAAACTGATAGCTCAGTCATTTGATGGTGCAAATGCCATGAAAGGCAAAAAAGCAGGCGTTCAAGCAAAAATAAAAGCAGTTTATAGTAATGCACATTTCATTCACTGTTATGCACGTCAACTTAATTTAATAATGAGAAATGTAGCAATATTACATGAAACGCAAGAATATTTTTCTCTAACATTTTGTCTATTCCAACATTTTTCTCAAGATCACCGCATCCTGTGTCCATTCTCAAGATGCATATGGAAGTGAGCATTCCACGTCCATCTTCTAGAAGGTGGAACTTCAACATACGGACCATAAACAGAGTCAGAGTCAGAGTCACGTTGCAACTGACGGTCAGTCAGTCTGTCTGTCTTGGTGTCGAGCCCCATTGGATGAAAGTTACTGTCTTGTCCATGTGTAGCGCCCTCTCTGACGAGAGGTCGGGTCTGTCATTTGTTAGTCAGTCTGTAGTAATTTGTCCATTGTCTGTATTTACACATATTTACAGTATACCTATTTCTTATATAAATGTACAATATTTACACGGCCTCTCATTCCAGGCTAGGTACAGCAGATTATGCCCTTTTATATATAAATAAATATCCTAGTAGTATTAGCTATCACGGCAGTCTAGTCACTTGAACGGTCGTATGCCTGACCGCCGCCAAGTTCAAGCCTCTTATACTTCCTGTGTCGGGCTTCGCCTTGTCCGATGTTGAGAACATTCTCATTTTCATGATTTTGTATGACTTCTGCTTGTTGTCTGCATAATTTTGTTATAAAGTCATATACGTACGGGATTTTGAATGCCATGTGCAAATCGCGGACCGGTGTGCACCTTGAAAAATTGCCAATCGTGCGGAGAACCTTGTTTTGCAGGCGCTGCAATTTCACTAGATGAGTGTCTGCCGCAAACTCCCAGGCGGGACTAGCATAAGTCATTACGGATCTAATAAGAGCTTTATGGAGGGTCAGTTTAATGTTAGCGCTCAATCGCTCACTTTTGTATAAGGAATAAACTCTAATGAATGTTCTGAAGGCCTTGGCTTCGATCATTTCTATGTGTAATCTCCAAGCCACTCTCTTATCGAAGATTACACCTAGATATTTTGCACTATTTACAAATGGAATGTTTCTTCCATTTAGAGTAAGACAAGACTCAGGCGGTCGATGACCACGAGAGAAGTAGACCCCCCGAGTCTTATCTTTATTAATTTTTATATTCCAGCGCTCACACCAGGTCTCCATTGAGATGAGACGGCGCTGGAGTTTTCTAACAATAAAACCCTCTTTGCGATCTGTCGCATATAGACAGGTGTCATCCGCAAAAAGGGCCAAATGAATACCATGAGTTTGGGGGGCATCATTAATATACATGTTGAAAAGGGTGGGGGAAAGGACTGAACCTTGTGGCACCCCTGCTTGCATTTCCCTTGGCGTTGATATTTCGCCTTCAACAGAGAACCTGAATTTACGTTTAGATAGAAAGGACCCAATAAGCTTGATCAAAGAGTTGGGGAATTCCAATTTTGATAATTTAAACAGCAAGCCTGAGTGCCACGTGGTATCAAAGGCTTTTTCGATGTCCAAGAACACTGCAGCCGTAGACATTTTATTGATGAAATTAAGGGTCACGTGATCCGCCAGCCTCATACATTGCAATGTCGTGCTGTGACGTGCACGAAAACCAAACTGACTTGCGTTGATCAGGCCTCTTTCTTCAACGTGTTTACGGAGGAATTTCAAAATTACTTTTTCCAATAGTTTTCCTGTCGTGGACAGGAGGCTGATCGGACGTAAATTTTGAGGAAATTTCGGGTCTTTACCCGGTTTAGGTAAAGTTATTATTTTTGCTTCCTTC